GGCTTTCCATATATATGCATATACATGTGTATATATATATGTGTGTGAGTGTAAATATATATAAATATATAAATATATTTGTAGTCTCAAGTGCACTAGCAAAATGCATTGCTTCGGTTTCAAGTGCCATCTTATTCGAGAAAGTGAAAGCTGCTTTGCATGTTGGCTAGAAGTTATGGACCTCTGTCTCTCCAATTCCCTAGCAAAACAGTAAAAGAACACTAAACAAAAACACCTGGTCGGTCTAGATGACTTCACTAGTTCACTAGGAGAGTTCAAAGCTCTTTGTAAACGTTTTGCTGCCTTACTTGTAATTAAACTACGTAAAACTACTTCCTGAGTGTATTGCTCACCTATGAAAGTTAATTAACTATTTCAATGCATTGGGGTATCATTAGGGCACCGTTACTTTATTGCATAACAACCATAACTTTAGAAGTTGTGTAAGCTGAACTATGAAAATAAACACAGACCCAGGGGCCCAGAACCTAAATGAACTTTGTTGTAACCAAGTAGGAATTTCAGTGTAAATAAAACAAAATGAAACATCTTTTCAGGCTACTAATAATACTATTACATCTATTATTTCAACATATAATGTCCACATAGAAGTCATGAAAAGTGTAGCAAAATAACAAACAAAAACTTTCATATGGTAATGTAGAATCTTTTTTCTTCACAAATATATATTTTCTTAAAAAAATATTCATATTAGAAGATCTGGAGAGAAAATGTAGATAGTAAAGGAAACATAACCAGAGAGAAAGTCTAAAGTTAAATAAAAATGTAGTGTAAAGATAATATTAAACTTCTATTATTCAGCTAATAAAAGTAATTAAAGAATTATCTGCTTACTGTTAACAAGAAAATCTATTTTAAGGTTATTTTGATTACAAAATTGCTAATTACATATCATTTCAAAAAATAGTACCTTAATGCAGAGCCAAATATTAATACTATTTGTGCAGTATTTTTTTTCTAAAAAGTGCCCTGGCCCGTTTGGTACAGTGGTTAGAGCGTCAGCCCATGGACCAATGAGTCACGGGTTTGATTCTGGCCAAGGATGTGTACCTCGGTTGTGGTTTGTTCTCAGCCCTGGTCAGGGTCCTACAGGAGGCAACCAGTTGATGTGACCCTCTCATGTGGATGTTTTTCTCGCTCTCCCTTTTTCTCCCTCTCTCTCCCTCCCACTCTATCTAAAGATAAATGGGAAAATGTCCTCTGATAAGGATTAAAAAAAGAAAGAAAAGAAAAAAATACCTACGTAGTAAAATATATAAATGACCCATTTCTTCTCCCCCAATCAATTCCCCAAATTAGCCTGTTAAGTATTTCACAGATATACTTTCCACAATATATTTAATTAATTTAATATGTGCATTTAAACACATTAAATAAGATAATGCTTTTAATACATGTGAGTGCATACAGTATATGATATTCTGACAGTAGCATATTTTCCCTTGATACGTAATGTAGATTTTTTTCCATAGTACATTTTAAATATTTTACCTTATTCTTTGTAAGAACTGTTCAGTGATCCATTGTTCGAATATAAGATATTTATTTAAACAATCTCCTAGAAATTAAGATTTAGATTATTTTTTCTCTAAAATTAATAGTGTTAGAATACAATCATAAATATTTCTAAAAATAAAATTTATGTTGAAAATTTTAAATATTGATCCTTACTGTTGAATTGCCTACCCGTGAAGTTTATATGATGGCTGTTACTTCTCCCAACATTGCAACATTGCTATACTGTTATTAATATGTGTAGACTCTACAAATTTGATAGCTTAACATAAGTTTCCTCATTGCTGCATGTATTTATATTTATTTTATTTTGATTGAGGCTGTCCATTATTAGCCATCTGTATTTCTTTTCTGTTATTAACTTTCACACATTAAAAAAAAAAAAAATTGCAGAGATTGATCCTTTTCCTTCTGATTTAAGCCAACAGTGCTTTATAGAAGTATTTCCCAATGGAAACCTTCATAACCTCCAGGACTCTAAGGCTTCAAAAGTACATAAAGCATTTTGTAAACTGCAAAATTGTTAGTAAAAACAGTAATGCCATTTGCGGGTGATTCATTACACTTTCATTATATTCAGTGTCTACCTATCTCCTCATAATATTCAATTATTTGTCTTCAAGGTTGTGTGGAGTTAGACATAGGAAGAGAAAATGTCTTGAGCAAAGATGCATGCTCCGTTCTAACTCTAAAGTTGACATTCTTTTCTCAAGTCTCCATAAACTGTGCTATTGGTTTTTATTAAGTAGGCAGGACTTAAGTAATAAATAAAGAGGGATATATACATATAAGTCATCATTGTTATTTTGTACCAGATTAATCTTTTAACATCACTTTTATCAGGTCATTTTCAAATTCTAGTAATAATTGTTTTCCTCCTTCCTGCCATGTCATATCTAAATGTAGGAGCCCACATAACCTGGCTGAATCTCGCCAATCCAACCTTATGTTCATCCCCAAGTGCTTCTCCAATTATACTGGTATCATTACCCTTCCATGAATAAGCCCTGCTCATATAATCTATAATGAAAATGGGACACTTTTCAGAGTGAGAAGGGAAGGTACTAAATATTATAACAAATATTCATATTCAGGTTTATCTCATACGAAATGAAAGGCGTGGCCAACTCTAGCTCTGCCTGCCCTCCTGTACTTTAGACTATTTTCCTTCTCTTACTCACATATGATATGTATCCTGTAAGACTGGCCCAGACCCTGACTTTTCCAGATGCCTTTTGTCACCTAGATCTATCTTTTCTCTGAGCCCCATTAGCATCCAAACTACCAACACCTGTTTCAAGTGTATTCCTGTTGCATTTTGATCAAGACCGTGAGGCTTTTTATGGAAGATCGAGGCTAGTCGTTTTCTGTAGTCTTTCAGAAACCTATCCAGAGGAAGCAAGTCACGGATATTCGTGAATCCCTGTGGAATTGATTGGATTAGTCATTCAACCTCTGAGCCTCCACTGTTAGCTGGGGCGAGGAGGGGATTGACTGTAATCAATTCATAATAATTTAAGCTTGTTAAATTAAGAAATATTTCAGCTGATTCCATTCGAAAATGCCTTTAAACAAGAAGCAAATGGAGCACAGACACATAGGTTTTAATAAAGTTGAACTGAGGGTCAGAATGTGGAATGCCACCAGGGAGGACGGAGCTGGTGTGAGGAACCTCTCTGGCTGGCTCCAGGCAAGATGTCTCCCCTTCTGAGCAAAGAATAAAAAGTCAGAGGGAAAGAAGGCCAGGAATGAGCTAAAGACAAATTCTTCTTACTTCAGAGGATTTTTTTTTTTTAGGGCTGGAATTGTCTGCACTTTCTACCCAGTTCCAGTAGTTTCTTAACTTACTACCCGGAGGCTCTTGGGAAGCTGGCTTCCCTCTCTGGGTGCTTCATGCCCAGCTTGTGGCATGAGGCTGCACCGAGCATATTTTTAATGCGTTCACATAAACTATAAACAAAAGTCTGAGTGTTAATGATCTTTTATTGCTCACAGAAGATGCAGATCAAACTTCCAAGAATTCCGGCAGTAAAACCTCAGCTGTCTGGGAACACCCTGCCTCCAGAACTTGACACCAACTGTCCCCGGGCCACGCACTCACCTCCTAACGAACTGTTCTCCTCAGCAGATTCCCACTAAATGTATCGAATCCAAACTCATTTTAAAAGCTGGTGGGTCAAGGTTTTCTGTTAAGCTCTATACTACTGACAAATACAAACAAAAACAAACATACAGACACGACAGCTGGATTTCCCAGGCTCAAATAAGCATACTTTCTCAAGTTTTGTTGCCAGTCTGTAGAACTGCACTTAATTTGAAAAGTGGCACATTAGCTCATGCGACTCACTTTCTGTGAGAAATTTCAGGATTATTTAACTTCACTGAAGATAAAAAATGTAATGAAAGGTTTCTCTCAGCTTCAATATTATTGGCCAGGTAGAGCTGTATAGAATAAACAGTATAGTGCTCTGAGCAAGCTATTTCATCGAATAGATGCTAAAGACTAATCTTCCTATTTAGTAAAGATATATATGTGTATTTGTATTTATATACCTATATCCATATTTATATCTATATCTATATATATCATGTCTTTTGATTATTGATTAACTGAGATAAGTCTGTAGCTTCTCACATTTAGCTATTTGGCCATTCATTAGCATTCAAAATAATAAAATAGCAAAATTATTGATTATGTGATAAATCAAAAGAAGACATCTACATTTATATTTATCTTGCTCTTATAATTTAGAGAAAAAATTAATTTCTCTCTCCAAAGATATTGCAAAAATTTAGTTATCCCCCCTAGCCCATTGTTGATAATATTTTAAAAAATAATGATAAGGAATTCATGCTGTTTTGCACCTGTCTGCATTTGTACTTTAATTAAGCTCTGTGCTAACAGTGAGATTAAACGTTTTCATTTGTCAAGAAATGCCTGTCTTTCTTATGATATGAGTTAGCAACACCCGGGACACTGTGTTGAAGCACCCTGTTAGCACATAAAATTGCAAGGCATCAACATCTTGCTGTTCCTTATCTCCAAGGTAAAGACCCGACATTTCAGAAGGGAGACGTTATCAGCCTTTCTTATCCTTGGCTGTATTCAGCGGGCGGTGTAAGCTCCTTCTCCGAGGGAAAGAAAAAGTACATGAAATGCGTGGACTGGTGCTCTCTAATTTGAGGGTCATCAACTCTCAATATGGTTTGTAGCATGAATAATTTAGCTCTAATTTGTTTTAAAAGCTGTGTTATAGCTGCTTCAGTCAGTAGGCACAAGTAAGTTACAAATGTTACACTGTTATATGACCTTGACAAAGTAGAAGTTAATGGTATAGTAATTAATGAGTTCTGCCTTCAAAATGTGCCCCCTTAAATTAAGTTTCTTCTTCCTTTCTTTTCTTTATTTTTTCTTTCATTGGAAAGCAGACAGGTTACTTCACAGGGTGGAAAGCAACCTGACGTTACATGGCAAGACCCACCCAGGACAATGGTGGCAGAGTTAAGGATACCACCATTACCAGGCCTAACCCCATCATCACAGAGGTGAGAGAGGAGGTCGACCACTCCACACCACGGTCACCAGCCTTTCCCAGGAAAATGAGTGGCCCCACTGTGACATCTGCCGCCTCTGTCGCATGCCTGCGACTGCGGAAGCAGACTCTGGCCACTGTCCCCCCAGTCTCCTGGAACGACCTGTAAGAGCTACCCCTGTTACAGCGGTGACATACAGCAGCACCTTCTGCCGGGGACAGCTGTTGGAGGACTTGCTGAAGGAGCAGGCTTTGTTTAGTTGGTCTGGGACTCGGTAAGCCGACATGACCTTCAGATGGCAGGTGACAGACATCGTGTTTCTGGAGTCCTGAGCAAAGGGGAACACGTCCGCTGTGAACCGGAGAGGCTCTGGCCCCGGTCTGCGTGCTTTGGAAGCAGATGGAGATTCGGAGAGGCCAGCCACGAGGCACTGGGGAAGCGGGGCTCAGTGGCACCTCCACGCGGCTCGTCCTCAGGATGGACAGGTATCCCAAGGGCGGGGGTTGTGGAGCAGGAAGGTGCGGTACACCAGGGCATCCTCTGTCACCTGCAGGCTGTTGCCACACTCATGGAGCCCAACCTCAAACCTGACCACATCACGTGTCCATCGAGACCAGGGCTCACAGTCCCCAGGGCCCAGGGTGAGCTTCCCAGTGCCAAAAAGATCTTTGCTGGCAGTGACCACGAGCTGAGCCCCCAGACATTCCGCCACAAGTGGGGGTTCCCACCCTTCCAGGGGGGCTGGGATTAGGACAGCGCCTGCCTCCCAGAGCAGCAAGCAGATGAAGAGCCCATAGCCGAGGCCCTGACGCCTACAAACTTTCCCATTAGTCTCTCTTCCTCTCTTCAAGAAACAAATCCTCATGGAATTTTTTAAAGAAGAAAAGTGACTCATGCTGATTGTAGAAAATCAAATAACAAAAATAAGAAAAGTAAAATTGCCTAATATTTCTACCTCTTGCTTTACTGAGAAAAATTCTTTTCTGGGCTCTTCTCTATTTCTTCATGTGGTATAATAACGTGTGATAAGCATGTGAGTGTATGTATATATACATCTAAGTGGTATGTTTTTTACAAAATCAAGATTACATTGACGATGGTGTTTTGTATACTACTCTTCTGTTGCTCTAACTCTTAGACATACATATATTTTCATTCAGTTACATCTAAATTACTTCTTGTTTCGGGAACTGTGAAAAGTTTGTGTTTTTATAGAGTTCGAATGAGGATGGAATAGAGCAACATACACTTTTCATAGTCTGTTTCATAATATGAGCTCAATTAATGTTAACTACTTTTTTATCAAAGAGGACAAATGAAGAAAGTTACTAGTAAACAGATTTTGAGTCCAATTTGTAGGAGAATTTTTGGACAAAGAGAATTGTTGAAGATTGAATTTAGTTGCCTGACAAGACAGTAACCTGTTTATCACAAGTAAAACTAGACACACCTTAAGTATTTTTCCATCCATTTATTTAATAAGTATCACCTAACAGCCTAATCTGTACCAAATTCTCTTCTATTAAATGGTATTACTGGTGCGGAGAAGAAGATGGAAAGCGAAACAAACAAAATCTTGGTCCTCTAAGAGCTTTTATTTTCAAAGAGCGGGACATAAAAAGAAAATATGGTGTGTTGTACAGTGATAAGTGCTATGAAATGTATAAAGAAGACTAAGTGATAGATAACTCCAACAGTGCTATTAGGTTGAGGTGAGATCAAAGAAGCATTCTCTCTCTGATGAGATGTAAAGAGACACATAAATGGTACAAGGGAGTAAGTCATATACTCAGTAGGGAAAAAAATCATTCTAGTCTAAAGGCCCTGAGGAGTATGCTTAACCTGTTAAAAACATAACAATACAAAACAAACAACAACAACAAAAAAAAAACACAGCAAAATGATCTAGGGGAAACATGGTAAGAAAATAAGTCAGTGAGGTAAACTGAGTCACTATGAAAGGTTCTGTATCCCTGGCCAGTTTGCTCAGCTGTTAGAGCGTCAATCTGCAGACAGATGAGCTGCTGGTTGATTTGGGTCAAGGGCACATACCTCCACTACAGTTGTCCTGGCCCTGGTCGGGGTCCTGTGGGAGGCAGCCAGCTGATGTGTCCTTCTCACGTCTCCTTCTCTTTCTTTCTGTCCCTCCCTCCCACTCTATCTGAACATAAATAGAAAAAATAAAAAAATCCTCAGTGAGAATTTTAAAAAAGAAAGGTTGTGTAAGTTCACAATGAGATAGTAGATTTTTTTTTCATGGAGCTGACTGATCTCTCCTGGTGAAGAAAGCCAGTTCGTCAAAATTGTTCCCTTGGTCAGTGTTGCAAAGGTCATAAATTTATTGTCCAGCTGGGTAATTAAACCGGATGATCATTAAATTCTTTCTAACCCTGATAGACATAATAGTCCATGGCTGAAAGCCTCTTCATGGAACCCTAGTATGCACTCTTGTTCGTCAAGTAAAAGTTTCCATGAAATCTGTCATTTCTGTCAATAGCGTCACAGCATTGAGCACATGGTCTAGAATTCAGCACCTTAATTTCTGACTTACATGTCAAGGAACTTTAGACAGACTTTCGATTATTAATAACAAACACCTGTGAGTTCATTTTAGCCCCACCCCAAATGAAAATTAAGTTTAGATTCACTCTTCTTTTTTTAAATGTATCTGTTCATTTCCTCTGCTACATTTATCGCTAAGTCCTCCTGGCAACACCCTGGGCTGTAAACTCTGGATAAAAAATTGCTATAAACAAAACAAGGGCAGGAAAGTTGTTAAAGATAATTATTCTGCAGCTTCAAAGCACATGTAGGCTTTCCTCGATATGATGCTACCACTGGGTGCCCACTGCGGACTACAGGGTAACAGATTCCAAAAGTCTTCCAGGCCGAAGTCTGGTTGCAGCTTTGTTGAGATTGCCAGTATTAGAAAAATTCCTCTCTCACAGAAAAAATCGCAACTGAGAGTTTTCCTACTGAAAATACCAAGTGCTTTAAAGCAGAGGGTCTAGCCATTATAACTAAATGATGATTGCTCAGCTCCAGAAGGAAAGGTCGGGCAATGAAATACATGAAGCAACGTTCAGGTGCACGGTGCTTGTGGGTGGCTGGCAGCCATTGGAGCGTTCACTGGATAATGGCACAGAAGTACTTGGGTTCAATGTCCAGGAGGTCAACAGTTCTGAAACTTGAGCATGTATCAAAATCCCTTGGAGAACTTGTTAAACACAGAGAGCTGGGTCCCATCCCTAGAGTTTCTGATCAGCAGGTAAGAGCTAGGGCTGGATCATTTGAACGTCTAACAAATTCCCAGCTACTGTTGCCGTGGAATCAGAAATTTGAGAATCACTAATTTAGGGACCATTACTTGAGAAATTGCAATTTTGTCCTAAATAAACTGCATCGGTCCATTCAGCTTACTGGGTTTTATTTATTAGGGCTCAGGAGCCTGAATGTCATAGATTATTTGCCTAAATTCTAAGATTTTTCTATGAAAACTTGGACCCTAGTCTAATTTTTTTCTTCATACTGTTATTGTGGTGGCTAACATTTACAGAGACTTGAATTTGCCAGGAAATTTATAGATATATAATTAATATTGTTCACAACAATTCTAAGAAGGTAGGCATCACTACCTAAGGTAAGTTAAGTAAATTGTGTAAGATTACAATCCGATTTAGTGGAAAGGACAATATTAGAATCTGATTCTACTTATTATTTCTCCTGCTTCACGGTTTTTCAGAATTTAGTGTGAATATAAATGATCTGGGGATCTTGTTAAATGGAGACTCTGCATGACTCAAATGAATATAATGAATAGATAATGGCAAAAATGATCAATATTATTATAGTATTTTAAATAAATTTTATTATGCCAATCACAACATAATTTACATAATGTAAAATAGTGGCACATAAAGTTTAAATATTTTATTTCATCAAAATAAATTATCTATCTCATATAAATTGAGTCTTTAAATAATCTATAATCTTTCAATTATACAGGACACACAGATCTTATAAACATAAAAAAAGACCAATAAAACCTACAATTTATTTTCTGTGTTGAACAGAAAATTGTATTCTGATTTTAGTTACACCTAAAAGATATCACCTGTCTCAATAGGCAATAAAAATAGAATTGATATAAATTTCCTATAAAGAGCTGGGATCATCTAACAACCCATGTTACCTTGAGTACCCTACACTTAATTTTGAGTTACTTCTGATCAGGACATTTTTGTATTTTTTTCTTCATAAATTTACTTGAGGTTTATTTATAGCCAGTTATTTTATTTTTTTAAATGCATCTCTAAAATACATTTTATTTAACTTTTCAAGAATGTCTTATTTTTATTGTAAACCATTATATGTATCTCTCTCAATACTCTCTGATAATATATAAACTGTCTTTTTAAATGCCACAAAGAAATACACAAAACTTGAATATCAAGAGTGTGACACTGAAGGCTTGTTGAAAAAACATCACCCAAACTTTTTTTTTTTTTTTTTAGGAGAACTTGTTTCACGTTGGTGTTATTATTTTGTTAGATACCAGATACTGTGATAGTGTATGTTAACATGCAGATAGATTTCTGACTACTAGATTTGACCAAAGGGTACCCTTTTATTGTCTTATAAGATGTTATTCTGTTTTTTGGATTTAAAAAAAATTTTTTTTTCTTTATTGATTTTAGAGAGGGGAAGAGAGAGGGAGAGAGATACTGGGGATTGGGCCCACAACCTAGGCATGTGCCCTGGCCAGGAATCCAACCAGCGACCTCTTGATAAGTGGGTCAATGCTCAACCACTGAGCCACACCAGCCAGTGTGTATTCTGTTTTTGTATTAGAGATTTAATTCTAACATTTTTTTCTTTCAAAATTACTAGAAATAGCCAGTTCTTCTTCATTTTAATTATTATTTTTTTTACCATTCCATTGGCATCCTCATGAATGAGTTGAATAAAACCTTTGACATGTTTATTCAATATTTGTATGTGTGCATATTCTTAACTTTTTGAAAATTATACTTAGGCAGTTTTACCTGCCAGAGATAATTTTTTTGTATTTATTTATCTTTATTGTTGAAAGTATTGCAGATGTATGGCCCTCTTTTTCTCCCCAGTGACACCCACCTCTCTGCGCCCCCCTGCCCCCTCCCCTCTCACGGCACTGTTGTCATTGGTTAGGCAGACATGTATCTAAGTTCTTTGGTTTATCTCTTCCCACCCACCCCAAACCCCCTTCTCTCTGAGGTTTGTCAGTATGTTCCCTACATCCATGTCTCTGGATCTATTTTGTTAGTCAACTTATTTCGTTCATTATAGTCCACAAATAAGTGAGATCATGTGGTACTTGTCTTTCTCTGGCTGGCTTATTTTGTTCAGCACAATACTCTCCAGGTCCCTCCAGGTCGTAGATCTTTAATGCATTACCGGAAAAGTGAAGCTCGGTGCTCATCAGGACAAGCACTTATTTTCCTGTCTCTCGGAAACCCACAGAGCCCTAGAACTTAATCTTTGGTCACTCTGTTTTCTAGGGGTTTATTTTCTCCCTAATCTTTGGTTTTTGTTTAGAGTTCTTGGTCTAGTATGGTATATTAATCTGTCTGTGCATATCTAACTCATGGCTTGAGTTCTTTCTCCACGACCAGAGGACAGGATCGTGAACACTCCACAGCCTCGGTGACATAGTCTAGGGAACACCCTTGAGTTGGTTTGTGCATCAATGACTCAGAATCTCCCCAGGGTGATGGGAATCTAGTCTGTCAGGTGAGAGATGAGAGAAAATCTGGTTTGCTAACCTTTCTTTGTTCGTTCATTTTACCATAAGTGAACTCAGATAAATTAAGGAAATAATTGTTGAACAGTGGGAAATAGAACAAACCTCTGAGA